TTATAGACCTCCGGAGGGAGGTTACTTAGAAGAAAGTCGCTAACCTAGTTTACGTCTTACTTACTATTTAATTAGGTTTCCTTAGTTAATTATAAGGTATTCTTAGATTTTCTCGCTCGCTATATCGTATTAGGGTTAGATCCGAGGCTATAGATAAATATAATACTATCTATATTAGTAATACCGAACCTTTCTATAGAGTATATTTATTCTTACTCGACCCCTCTAGCACGTACGGCTACGTTATAGCTATTCACTAGGACAAGCTCGAATCTCGACCTTAAAGCTTAATCGGTAATAAGGCGGCTCGGGATTTTATAGATGACCCTATAATAGATATATATAACCGAGAGAAGGAAAGCGAGTAGATATAAAGTCGTAGATTAATTTATTACTAACGGACGGGCTCTCCCGCGTAGGTCGCCCCTCTTTAACCGGCGAAGTCGGTTAGAATCGGCAACACATAGGATAGGATCGTAATAGCGTCGAACCTAGATAGTTAAGTAGTTACTAGACTATCGGGGGAATAGAAGTTATACGACTATAATAAGCCGAATCGGTTCTAGCTATATAATTAAGGTATCTATAGCTAAATAGCCACGCTAGACTAATTAACGAAGATAGCGCTAAGAGAGGGCTCCGCCTAATTTAAGTAGGGGGCTATATATTCCGGGTATTAATATACCAACCTCCCCGCTATCTATAGACTAGTAAATATATACATCGAACCACTAGACCATATTAAGCTAAGACGCTATATCTACTTATACCAGCGCCCCGTTCCCTCTATTATATACTTTAAATAAAGAGCTCCTAGGACTTCCTCTACGCTCGAACGGCGACGACACTTTAGAGCCGTAGGGCGGGCTAAAGGCTATACAATATATACTAGGAAATCCCGGTATCGGCCTTCTCCCTAATAAAGTTTATAATCATCTTTCTAATAAATTAGCAACCCCGCTCCTAAATAAGCTATATACCTAGCTGTAGCTAGTTATAAGGAAATCTAGATATTATATCGACGCGTTATATTCGTAAAAGGTTAAGGGGCGCTCTATTATCCTAACCGAAGACCCGAGACTCTATCTTATTTAGAATAGGAATAAGGTCTATATTAAGCCTATACCTTTATTTCTATTAAACTATAAATTTTAGGTACGATATTTACAACCTCTAAAGCGAGCATTATCGTTAGAAAATCCCGAGCTTACTCTAGAAACTTTCGAGTTAACTACTTCTATATTCGACCGCTCGATTACGATAGGGTTTATACGCTTATACGCGTTTTTTATTAAGTACCCTCTAGACCTTACGATCGCGAAGGAATATTATCTAATCCCGGCCGATATTAACTAGATTCGATAGTCGATCTTTATTAATAACTTCCGTATTATTAGAGACAATAGGGTTACAAAGCGATACTATTATAGACAAATACGTCTATCCCGACTAAATTAGATCGTCCGGATCTTCTATCTATAGCATACCCGTACTAGATAGTTCTATAAGAATCCCTACTAGTCTATTAGCGAGTTTATAGAGAGAGCAACTTTCCTTTTAGTCTTCCTATTTACTAGCGTATCTATCGCTCTTTTATCGATATAAGTTACGCTCGCCGTTCTAGTAGACCGACTTTAGTCTTATATTTTAGACAATTATAAGCTATAAGAGATAAATAGAGCATTTTAGCTCTTTTCTATTACCGTAGTACTTCTATAGCTATTAATATAGGTTCTCCTCCTCGGTATTCCCCTTCTTACTTTATATTCGCAAGTTTTCTAGGGACTTAGAAATCGAGAGAAATAGGCAAGAGATACCTCAACTATCTAGGTCGAAGCAGTATATAGTACTTCTAACCCCATACGATAACCCCTATATTAATAGACTTCTATAGATATTCAGGCTATATATAACCCGAAAGCCTATTCCTATAGGCCTATAGATAGAGACAACGTAGTTATATCTAGGGATAGTACTTAACTTAGCTTAAGGAGTAATATACCTTAACTAGATTTACTACTAGATAACTAAAGTTAGCTCCGCGACGCTAAAAAATAAAATCAAATTAGCGGATAGCCTATATTAAGCATTCTATTAGTCCGGTATAGGTATAACCAAGCATCTTTTCGGGAAACCGGATCGACCCAAGCTAGAAAACTAAAATTAAGCGTAAGACGCGATAATCAGCTAGCTTCCGCCCGATAAAAAGCACGCTTTAATATTATCAATTCGAAAGCCCGTTAATACTAGCTATTTAAAGTACGCGATAAGTAGTAAGAGATCGTATTTTATTATTACTATAGCGAAACTAGCGTACGCTACTAATCTAGTAAACATCTTTTTCTAAGGTCCGTAGATTTAAGATAGGCTACTAAGCTCCTAGGAACTACGAGATTATCAAATTACGTATATTTCCTATTACCTAGTATACCCTAGACCTTTTACCCAAAATATTTTACCTACTCACTAAGCAGAGGGGTAAGTAGATAGAGTCGCTCGTTATACCCCCTTAACGGTCTCCTACCGCTCCCCGTAAAAACTCTTCTTTATATCTAGATTTCTCTTTGTATTATAGCACTAAGACTACCTCTCTTAAAGCTCGAAATGATTGAAACTATAATATTAAGCAAATTACTAACTACCTCGTAAATAGCTAAAGCTATAGAATGTAGTAAACATTTAATTATCAATATTAGTAATAACCTTCGCCGGTTCGGAAATATTAGAGCACCCCTAACTCGAGTAGGTCGACGACAGACTATAACTCCTCCGATAATAGAAGTACTATATAATCGCCTCCTCGAAAAGCCCAGTCTATATATAAATAAGATATTAATCTTTCTATAGGACGAGTTTCGTATCTAGGTCACAAATTTAAGCCTTAAATAAGCTCTTACTTCGGTAGGTTAGTTAAAGAAAGTAGCTCGATATAGAGTAAAGGAATAAAATATAGATCTACGAGATTTCTATATATATAACCTATTAGACTTCTAATCGTACTATTTAGTCTACGTAGATAAGTCTAGGTATAATAAACGTATCGGGTTCCGAAGGACTAGCTAGTCTCCGTTAGGCACGGCACCATTATAAGTCACTAACTTCTATCGTAACTAGCGGTACTAGATACTACTTATATATTACTAAGATAGAATTATAATCTCTCGTATATTCTAGGGCTCTACGGATACTATAGTCTTCAAGGACTTTATTAATTAGCTTCTTCGGCATTATAGGAGATAGCCTAAACCAAAGTCCGTTCTAGTTATAGATAACGCATCTTTCTACTATTCTAATCGTATTAAGGAAATATATATCGAAGTAGGAGTAAAACTCGTATATCTACTACCTTACTTACCTAACTTAAATCCTATCGAGGAGTTCTTCTCCGAGTTAAAGGCGTATATTAGACGGAACTTTATATAGTACGAAGAAGACCTAGAATAAGGATTTTAAACTTTCCTCGAGCGGTATATTAAGATTATAGGATCTCGAAAACAGAATACTTTAGATTATTTCCGATATTCTAGGGTGGTTATTAACACCTATAGCTAATTAGTTACGTTAGAGGCGATCTAGCGTTAGGCCTTATAGTAATACAATATATATATATACTAATAGTTATAAATACTACTTGATTCTCTACTAGCTCTACTTTTTATATATACTATTATAGTTTAATTATCTACTTAAGGATTTATATAAAACAGAAGTGATTTAGAAGCCAATCTAGTATCTATATAAGCGCCTTCTTACGCTTTTATATATATTTAAGCTACGGCCTATATAGCTTAGTCGTCTAGCGAGATATTCCTTATACTTATATACTTAACCTATTAGCTAATATCTCTTACGAATTAGCGTATAATACCTACCACAATCCCTTTATCGGTAAAGAATAAGGGATCTTAGTCCTTATAAATTAGTCTAAGATCAAGACTATTAGCTAACGCTACCTTACATACTTACCGAAACTATACTTTTAGATTTTCGTTACTAACGTTTAATTTATACTATACGCTATAATCTTTAATAGCTTTATCTCTTAGCCTAGTAAGATTAAGGTCTTCTATAACTTAGTTATTAGATGGTAGAACCATTACTAAGGCTATAATTAGATTAGACGTATCTCGTTGCGGGGAAGATTATATCCTATTAAAATTGATATTAATAGGTTGATAGCTTCTAAGGGTTCCTACTATCTTATTCTTCTAAGATTATTAGCTCTCCAACCTATACCGCTCTTCTATATATAGTTCTTTATAGAAATTATCCGGGACGTCTTTATAGGACTACAAGATACCGCCTTTTTCTATAAAGGCGATCAAACGCTTTAGTTAATAGCTCCTTAATTTATAGTGCTTTTTACCGTAGGGGTCTTACTAATAATATAGGCCGAGATAGTATAAGGAGGATAGGTAACGTATTAGATTATAAACACCCCGCTATATCGATTCTTACCTAGACACGTTCTCTTTAGTATCTAGTTAAGCATCTCGCTCGTTAAGTATTTATTTAGTGACCGATAACCTTCCTCTTTTCTCTACCCTACCCGAGGTAATTTTATAGAGACAGTCGTCCTTAACATATTTAAAGGTAATACTTAGCCTTAGTTTCTTACCTCGACGAAATAGGTCGCCCTACTTTAGTAGCTACTTTTTAATAGTAGTCTAATCGATATCGAGATAGTTAAACCGTTTTATTAGGTCGCGTTAGGAGTGATTATTTATTGATATAGCGATCGAGGTATCGTCCGACCTTACGCTTCCTTTACGGCGGACCTTCCCTTCTAACAACCTCTTAAGCTTACCTTTTAAGGTCTTCGGCTAATAAGCACTCGGAGTCAGGATTATATCCTCTTTAGTATCTCGTAAGAGTACCTTCTTATTCACCGTAACTTTCTATTCTATCGTATATTAGATATAGTTTACCGGAAGCTCGTTACTTAGCATCCTATCGTACTACTTAGATAGCTAGAGCAGCCTAGGTCTTTCGGGTTAGTATTAGTATAAGTCTTCTAGATCGTACTTAGAGTGATACTCGGGGAAGGGCTTAGCCCACAGCCTAAAATAGGCGTACAACTATAGTAGCCGGGAGTTAGAGTATATTGCGAATCTTAGTCTCTAGATTTAAGGATATACGGTTGAAAATCACGTTTATCGGGATACGAATTAGTAGTCATCGTCTTCGTCTAAACGCTCTAAAGAATCCAACGTTAGTATAATCACAACTAGTCAGTTAAGCAAACGCTAGTCCTCTATTAGAAGGTCAAGATTAATATACAAAGCAAATAAATATTACCTACTAGTACTGTCTCTATACAATACGCTCGGTAAGATACGCGGTTAATAGGGGTAGGATTCGAATTCCTACTATATCTTTAGACGAGAAGAGTAGACACCTCCTCTGTTTAGCCTATTTATAGGATTAACGTTCTAGAAACCCTAAGAATCATATAGGTCTAATACAGAAGCTATTTCTATGCTATTATTTATACGTATATTAAATTACTGCTAAGATATATATTTAGGGGAAGAGTAACTATAATAGGTATAGCGTGTTTTAAAAGAGGGTTCGAGATAGAATCCCTATATGTAAGTAGTAAAACTAATTTCGATCTATCCTATACGTCGATATAAGGTAAAAATTATATTAAAGAGGTAATAGTGATTCGAAACTATACCACGATAAATCTCTTTAAGTCTTTATAACCCCCCTCTGCTACTAGAATCTGTTATATATAAGGTTGTATAATAATATAGATAGCGATAATCTAGAGGCCCTTAGCTTACAGGGTAGACGGTTAAGCTCCTAAAAGCACTCGGTCTCCTAGAGCCTAAATATATATTCTTAGAAACCGGACGGGTGCTCCTAGGGAGCGATATAGGTATTCCTAAGAGCCTATATAGTCCTAGAAGCCTATACTTAAACCCTAGGAACTAGACTTCCGTTCCTAGGAACCTAGTAGCCTTTAGCCGTTAGTAAAGGCGGATACCTATTAGTTATAAAAACGCTTAAGTAATATAATCTCTATAATATAAGTCTATAAAAGGACCTAAGAGACCCTCGTGTTCTTAGGAACCTATATTACTTTCCTAGGAGAAGGGAAAAGCGTTCGTTATATATAATATAGAAGCTTCGATTATAGGGGTAATATACTAAAGGCTATTAGGGATCTTTTCTTTTACTAGACGTTTTGACCGTCCGGTCTATAAGAGGTTCTACTATCTATCCGGAGTACTTTATTAATATAAAGAATATATCCCTTAAATTTTACTAAGATTCCTTATTTTATCTAACTTAATATCTTCTTTCTTTTAATATTATTATACCTACTATATATTATTCTATACTATCTAATAATATATACTAGAGCTCTAACTATCTTTAGTTACTCTTCGGCTAAATTATTAGCGATCCTACTTATTATTTAGAGTACCGATAGGTTAAAGATAATAGAGTCCGTTATCAAAATCCTATATCTAAAGATTTACGGATAGATAGAGCGATATACCTTAAGATATTTTAAGATCTCCCTATCGGTTATTTACCTATAATAAGACTCTTAAAAGCCGTAAGGTATATATTATATATAGAATATAAGCATTATTCCTCCCGAACTAAAAAGTACGCCTAAAGATAGATAGACCGGTTATACGCCTAGGCTAGTTAAATAGAGGAAGCTATCTAAACTTAGTAAGATAGGTACTATTAGTCTATTTTACTAGCAAACGGCTAGCCGACTAGTATATCCTATATAGTAGGTATAAATAGTTAGCGTATACCTTTTAATTACCGGCTTTTATACGCTATAAGAAATCGATAATAACTCTCGATAAATATACTCTCTACGTAGTATAAATAGTAGCGGCTAGTACGTTAATAGAACTTTTTATTATAACTATTTAGCTTAATAATACCTTATTATCTTCTAGTAGGGCCGCTAATTATAAACGAAAATAAACTATAATACCCCTTATTATACTATACCTATCTTACCTTTTTATCCCGCGTTCTAGCCTCCTACTAACGACGAGTATATATATTAGCTTATTAAGGAGTAGCCCTTTTACTATCTTAATAATAGCCCTCTTATCAGATAGAATACAGGCTATATAGGAATGAATGTTAACCTCAAGGGATTAATATTGTAGACTCTAGAGAGAAAGAAAAGAAGAGAAGAAAAACTAGCTACTATCTACCATTATCCTAAGTACTATGGGTCAGGATCACCTACGGCCCTATATGGCCGTCACGTGACTCCAACACCCCCTTTAGGACGAAGACTATCACTATATCTCTTTGTCTCTACCAATAAAAACTCTCTATTTTGTTTTCTTATTTTCTACTATTTCCTATATAATATAAATCTATATCTACCTATAAACTTTAGTATATAGATCAATTAAGACCTAATATCTAGATAAACTTTATATATACTTCTTTGTTAAGCGCTTTTGTAAACCCGTCGGCGACGTTACTCTTCGTCTCGACGCGCTATAGATCGATCTTCTTCTAGAAAATAGCGTCCTTAACGAAAAACTACTTTATATTAAGCTAACGTATACTATTCTTATACGATTTCTTACTTATTAGTAACTAAGTATTAATATTATCTATTAAAATAATAATTAGATTGCCCGCCTTAGGAAGATTAAGTGCCTTAGTAATCTTTAAAATCTACTAAGTATCCCTAGTAGGTCGATCTAGAGCACACTATTCCGTAGCTATCGACGATAGAGTTATAATACTCTATTTCTTCGAGTACTAAATAATAAGTACGCTACCGAAAAACTAAATAGTACCCTCTATCGATTTTAAATCATACTAATTACTATACGAAGCATCGGTATATATAAAGAACGAGGTATCGTCTACCCCCCTAATATTATACTAAGGTATATTATATCACTAAGATACTTATAGATAGTACGGACTGCCTATAAATCGTTAGTAGTCGGAGAAGTAGAACGATATTATAACTTTATAATACTAAATTTAATATTAGGCCTAGTTTTAACTACTAGCTAGTTAAGTCTACTAACTAAAGACCGGAATAAAGTATACCCCTCCTAATCTAGAAAAGCGTCGGGATTCTTATTATTGTTATCCTATTTATAGTTTAGAGAAAGCGGAATCGAAATTAGAGAATATACCTACATCTCTACTAAGCGAAGTACTTCTAGATAGTATACCTATTATATTATCCGAATTATTCTTTTATCGTAATCCCGGATAACGGTACTACTAAGAAAACGGGATAGTTCTCCTATATCCTTAATCTCGAACTAACCCTTTACCTACTAAAAAATTATCTCGACCTCTCCGTCGGTCGGAGCTATACTAATAAAATCATTAATATAAATAAGAAGAAACCACGTTAAACTATTATATATCTTAACGTAGATATATAGATTATTATTAAAAGTATAAAACCTAATCTTAATTAGTCTTCTATTAAGTTCCTTATTCTATAGAGCTACCGAATTATAAAGGCTAAACAATACCTACCGTAACTAACAAACCTAACCTTTACTTCCGATATTAGGTTCGGAGTATTTAAAACCTACTAGTTAAACAATATAGACTATCTCCTAATCTTTACGAGAAGTATTAAGATACGTAGCCACTACGTCAAACTAACGCTATTTATAACCTCTCTATATAATAAGTATAAAGATAATCTTTATAAGAACGTTCTAAATAACCGGAGTATAGAAGATTAAATCCTTCTTCTTCTACTAGTAGTTACTATAAACTACCTAGCGTACTTTAAAACTATAAATAAGGTTATCTTTCGTTACTTTAAGATTAAAAACCTATTAACTCGGTAGAGGCATTACCCCCGGCGGTTTATAAACGATATTAAAAGTCCTTTTTATATAAACGTCGTTAAACTAATCTTCTATTACTACTTACTAGCGGTCTAAAAATCGAGAATCTATCGCCTTATTATAAGACTAGGGAATAACAACGTCCTTAATATATAAAGGCTTGCCGTTATAAATAAAAGGAGTACTCTATTTCGTAATAACTCTCGACTTTATAAGTCTCCCCCTACCTTAATTACTATTATTACCTAATTCTTTATTAGCACTATTATTACCCTATAGAACGTCCGGCTTTATAACGATTCGCTTCGGTTGTTTTGTCTATTTCGGTTTCGTTTTCGGAATCGATATAGTCTCGGTGAGTTCCGTAGGAAAACCGTATCGTTTAGGCGATCGTCTTATCCGGCTCGATCGTCGGGGAATAAAGTATTCCGGTAGAATAGAAGCTATCTCGGTAATAGAACTATCGGTAATTATTTTAACTAAGACCTCCCGAGGTAATTCGACCTCGGAAACCGTCTCTACGTATAGTTTAAAAATAGGCTTAGAAACCTAATAAGAACTAGGCTAAACTACTACCTACTCTTCCTTTAAAATAATAAGATTATAAACCTCCTATATAGAAATCTCCTATAGAGAAACCTCCTATAGAAAAATCTCCTATAAAGAAATCTCCTATAGAGAAACCTCCTATAGAGTATCTTCTCGGAATACTCTAGGTAAATACTAAGAAGAAGTAGGAATAGCCTATTGTATAGGAACTTCTATATTACGAGTAGCTCGCTATATATACTACCCTTAATAAATAAAACTATTATATTTACTATCTTTACTATTATCCTCCTCGATCGACTAGTAAATAACTAAAGACTCTAGAATAGCCTCTAAAACCGGAGATACCACTACCTATTTTCTAGGCTACGGTGGGACTAGCGGAAGTAATAGTCTACCGTCTATATAATTAACTATATAACGTCGAATTGTCTTATAAACCTACGGTTAAAGAACTAGACGACGACGTATTAACTAAGGAACTAATTAATAAATTAGCTACTAAATAACCTACTTCTTTAGCGGTAGAAGGTAAGCCGGTTTGACTTACTTCCGGAAATTCGGTTACTATAATAGAGATTAATCTTCGATCTCCTATATTCTAGTTAATAGCTTTAGTATAGGTGGTATAGTCTATACTCTTCCCGGTATATCTAGACCTACGGAAGCTTACTTCTATTAAATCATAGGTCTTAAAACCTAAATTACTACCTCTAGCTATCTACTAGTAATAGAGACCTACGGAACTAGCTTTAGTCTAATTATAACCTTCGGACCTTCGTAAGGTTATTTGCCTTTC